CCCCCCCCCCCCCCCCCCCCCCTCCTCCTTGCCGTTCCTTAGTTTGTTGTTGTAGTTCTTGCAGGAAGAAATAATGTAGCAAATTCTCTATGCTGGGACCGTATTCTTTTAGCTCACTTACTGACGATTTTCTTATATCCCTCATTTGCGATTTTCTAACGACTTTCGATTTTCCTGCGGTTTTCCCGCGATTTTCAATTTTCTTGCGATTTTCCTACGACTTTCTTGAGAGACAATCTGTGAGGGTGTGTTTATTTTCCTAAATATTTTTTTTGTCATAATTTTTTTATATTTTTATAACAAAAATTTTTTTTATGAAGTTCAGAAATACATAATTCATTAAAAATTCATAAATTTTTCATATATTTCATAAATATTTCCATTTTCATGCTGCTGTGCTGATGTCACTGGAATGCTTCCACATACGTACATAACGTAGTTATGCTTGGCATTTCGATCATAAGTTACATGCCTTCAGTCAATACTGGTCGGGCCTCTTCCGTTGTAAATGTACCAATTCAGTACTTACTTTGAATACTTGAGCAGCAGCTTTATGTTATCGAACGTTCATTGTCATGCCACTGATGCACCACTGGCAACTTTTCCATTCTTCTCGTTGTTGCGCTTTCCGAGTCCATGGGATACCGTACAGACGTACCATTTTGTCTCTCCACCTGGCTGGTAGCCTTTTCACTGGTTCGCTTGACTATGCTGATACGGTAATTCGATAACTTGTTCAAAATATAAGCACTAAATTATACGAACAAAAGTCTCAAAACTACTGGACAGTCATTGTAGATATCCGATGTTAATGATGTTACTGGAATGCTCCTACACGCCCAGCAAAAGTAACATAAAATATGTGAATTTCATTTTTCACATCGAAAAAATTTTTGACTAATTTATGTGTGATATCTCTGTATAGCACATATTTTTGTGGCATACGTGATTACACATATTTTGGAATATTTGGATAAGCTGTAATTCATAGTCTTGTCTACACATAATCTACAGGATTGTAGCATGTATAATGCGTGGGTATTTGGTATATTTGGGGAATTTTTTTTTGATTTTTTATCATTTTTATCACTTTGATTAACTATAATTTCATTTTCGCATATCGTGAATTCATGTTTTCGTTGGAGCTATTATTACTGATTTCTGAAAAAAAAAAAAAAAAAAAAAAAATCGTTGTTTGCTTGCACATTAATATACAGGGTTGTAACGGATGGTGTGTAAATAGGTTTTTGATTTTTTGTCATTTTTATCACTTTGATTGACCGTAATTTCATTTTCGCGTACCGTGAATTCGTGTTATTACGGAGTTGGTGTTATTACTGTGGATTTTTGTAAAAAAAATCATTTTCAGATACTAACAATCGAGCCAACTACAGCGTAACATACAAATAATGGTCAGCAATTAATAACCTAACAACCTAACACTGACCGGTCCATTACTGAACGATCTAACATCTCTACTGTAAGTTTCGTCTTATATTTTACTAGTTAATTTACACGTACGTGAACTTCTTTCCCCGGTGATAAAAAGGAAAACGAGGCGATGTTTCAATATGTAATGATACCCTCGTGTGAGATTTGCTTATAAGCAAGCTGATGGCGATTTTGACTTTTCCCTGAAATGTGTTCATATTCAATAGTTAGCGAGAATTTTGCCAAAAATATCAAAAATCGCTCCTATTCACTTTCTGTGGGAAACGAGAGGCTCTCGGGGGGTATTTCGAGAATAGAAAATGCCAATAGCAATGCATCGCTGGCAAGGCTTTCGATGACCCCCTCTCACGAAAGTTGTTTACAAGCAAGCTGATGGTGATTTTATCTCCCTGACATGTGGTCATATTCAGTAATAATCAGGATTTTTTTTTTTTTTTTTTGCATATAATAAAAGGTGATAAATTGACAGAAGAATTTTTTGATAACGACTGTAGCAACCGGGTTGACCCGAAAAGCCTAAATGGTGAAAGCGCGATAGATTACAGCATGAAAGAAGAGTATGAGAAAAGAAGGTAAGAGTGAGATAAGACGTTTCGGTCCATCAATTCATATAACTTAGGATGTATAGTTAGCGAGTGAGGTCAGCTGATGGACAACTGAGATGCTGGGATGTGAGGGTAGCTCGGGCAGGGCACATTCTTGTGCTACAATAGTTGTTGACCACTGCAGTATAAGACCACACAAAATTAATTAGTAAATTACTGTACCCATTCAGATAGCACTTTGCAAAATTAAGGTCAGAAGGTCAAGGATCATGTGCTGAGGGTGAATTTTTTCACTCTTCCTCCCTCCCTCCATTGGCGCTTTGTTGAATTTTTTCACTCTTCCTCCCTCCCTCCCTCCACTGTCACTTTGTCTATCTTGTTCTTTGTTTCGCTCCTGAAGAGTATTCTTGGATGAATAGGGTAATCCGGCCAAATATTAAGGCTTTCCGATTCCGGTACTTTTTTTTCATCGGAAAATTACCCGTACCTTTTAGCTTCCATATTTATCCAGTTCTGCTGAAATGACATGAAACTGAAGAAGGAAGAAACGAGTAAGTCACTTATAGAATTACCCTTACAGAATTATCTTTTAGGATGACCTTTGGGACAACCCTTTTTTTTAGGATAATCTTTCTTTTTTGCTTGGAAATTTGTCCATCTAAAAAAGATTATTTTCAGACCACAAAATTAATATTCATGAACCAGAAAAAAGGCTTAAGCAGGAATTAAATGGCCACTGAAACATTCATACCGGATGGTAATCTGGAAGGACAGGTAGCCGAAATAATCCCCAGGAAGCTGTATTTATGTGCATTTCGTACCCGGCCGCCACTCATTTCGGCCGATTCGACAACACATTATTATTACGTGGATGATGAAGTGCATTATGATAGTTTCTATTCGGATTTTGGTCCACTGAATCTGTCGGTGTTGTACAGATTTTGCCAAAATCTTGCTGATAAACTGGAGGTAAGTTCACAACTTTTAACAGAGTTCATGCGTTATACATTTCTTTTTTTTTTTTTTTTCACAGACTGTCCTGATGATTTCCGCTCCGGCACACTCTGACTCTGTTTGTGTTTACAGCTGAGAGATGAACACCAAAATTGCCTCCCAGGATATCCATCATATCCTCTAAACAGATTTATATTTCTTTAATTGAGAGCTTGGCGACGCGTATCTGTTTTTCGTCTCATTACGGTAGTTATTGTAAGACTTAATTAAATACTGTGTCGCCCGTACCTTTTATCATGAATACGGTAGGTACCGCATTGGTGGGACGAAGTATGTATGTAGTATATTATTACGGTTTATCTGAATGGGTTTTGCCTGGGCAGAATGGGGTGCTGTAATTTTACCGTAATGTACTGTATAGAGTTTTTGTGGGGTTTTGCATATATGAAAATGCAAGAACGCATATTGTTACGAACCCGCTCTAGGCGTATGTTTGTGTGTGTGTGTGTGTGTTATTCGTCCATTATAGTGTTTCAACTCAGCAGCCAGGCAATCCCCGGTGACAAAATTTTGCCGGTGGGACCCCTGGCCAGGTGCCACCGCAGGACTGTGGTACCAACTCTTATGCTTGTCGTTACCCCGTGTACGAGCGCATGGAAGTTTTGGCGGCTAAAATCGCTGATTCGGGAATCAGGAGAGCTGGGAGGCTGAGGTTTTCAGGAGATTTTTCCAGCCCGTGTACAACTCAAATTTTTTAGATTCAGCTCCCAGGCGTATGTGGTACACATAGCTCTGTGAAAATTTTTGACGGGAAAATCTTCAACTCGGGAGCCAGGGAAGCTGGGAGGCCGAAAGACATTCTGGAAGCAGGCGCCTTTTCTTTACTTCAACCTTTTCTCTACCCCAGGTATCCACGGCAGAAACCATGAGCACGCTTCCTCCCCTCTCCCTTCGCCACCCCTTTCCACCTATCACCTCCTCGCCCCTCTCCCTTACACGACCTAGACAACTACTAAAGGACCTACGCCACCTAAGCACTCAATCCACGCAATCAACCCTCTCCGTGCCTCCAATTCCCGCGTTCAGGACCCGCACACAGCGTCTCTTCTCTACCACCAGCCGGCATCCTTTGCTGCGAAGGGAGGGGAGAAAGGAAAGGGGGTAAGGATACCCCAAAAAATCGCTCGTAACTGTATATGACGGCGGTCGAAGCGAGCCGAGTTTTAGTAACTACCGTTTCCTTTATGCAAATTTTGGCTGATTTTCTGTAATGAGCGTACGTGTAAGAAATATCAATAATTCGTTTTCGTATGCAGCAAACGGTCGGTTTTCCTCTCTCTTGGAACGTTCTTTTTTCATTCTTTCTCCTTTATGCAAAATTTTGGCTGATTATTTTCTGTAATGAGCGCAGGTGTAAAACTTATCAGTACTTCGTTTTCGTGTGCAGCAAGCGGTCGGTTTTTCTGTCTCGGGCTTTCTTTTTTCGTTCTTTCTCCTTTGTGCAAAATTCTTTTATGCAAAATTTCGGCTGATTTTCAGTAATGAGCGTACGTGTAAAACACATCAGTAATTCGTTTTCGTGTGCAACAAGCGGTCGGTTTTCTCCTCGCGGAGCGTTCTCTTTTCATTCTTTTTCTTGTCAACGCACAAATTTCCCCTCTTATGCAAGTTGCAAGCCAGGAATGGTGCCTTGTTCCCTTCCGTGCGCAAGTATTGTAACACTTGTAGGTATGAGTATTTTCACTTCTCAGAAAAGTTGAATTGGTACCATTGAACAGTGGCGGATAGGGGCGGGAGGGGGGCAGTGGTCTTTCGCCCCTCCCCAGGGGCTTAGGTAGCAAATATTT